ATAATGAGTTGCCTAGTTTAAACTCCCATCCTTCCCAATCTAGTGTCAGCATGAATGTTTCACAGCGTATGTGCTGTGTAGAGATGCAAGGACAGGCATCAAAATACCAAACCAAATTCAGAATCTGTACTGTGTTCTCACCTCAGCCATCGTTATTGTGTGGGACGTTCCCTTGTTCTGTATAACTATGGAGACTGTGCCCGATCTCCTGTCTTTCCCTTATTCTTGCAGTCTTACAAACATGAGGAAAAACTACATTTGGGATTTTGCATTCCCCTAGCCAGCTGAAACTTGCTGGGTACAGATGGGGCCATACATTTCTGTAGGTGCTCTAGATCTTCATCTCTTCCATCTGTTTCCTTGTTTCCCCAAGCTTGACTTCTTGTCGTGCATGCTCAGCTGTGTGGTGCTCTTGATGTAAGGTCAAAATGTGTGACTTGTTATTACTCAAATGTGATAAGACTGTTGTCCAGTTTTTATTGACTAAGCACCTTTAGCTTTTATATTAGTCCTTTTATCACGCATCCTCATTTTCTCCTAGCTTTGTCCACATCTGTATTTTTAACTTCATTTTCACAAGAAAATAGCGTATCTCTTAGTGTGCTTCCCAGTGCTTTCCTCAGAAGCCTTTGCTGGTGTACCCCAAGGGCACGGGTGCTCCCAGTCCTGTTGCAGGGACTGGGGTAAAAATGGGATATATGATATTGCTTATTGTCACTCTTAAGGCTGATTTTCTGTCCCTTGGAATAGCGGAATGAAGCAGCTTTCCCTGATGAAGTTAAAGCACTAGGATAACTCATCTCAATTTTGTATTTTATAACTGTACAAGACAGAGTATATTTAATGCATGTGGTACACTGAAAATGTAATTTCATCCAAGGCAACTAGGGAATGTGTGTCTCTGTCTTTTTTCTTTTCTTTTTTTTTTTTTTTTTTAAATCTGCAGTTGATGTAGTTTTACCTATTGCAGTGAATTGCTGTTGTCCTGAGAGTCATCCCCTTTTGAAATAGTTGTTTTGTAGGACATGTTGCTGCTGATTATCCTTTTGTAATGAATCCAAAGAAAAACTGCCTTGCTTTGGAAGAAGAGCAGCAACAAGATTTGGTTCCAATCTTAGTGTTTTACCTTTATTTTGGAGGAGACCACTGCAGTTGATGTGAAGGAGTATTTACAGTGTTCCCTATCTGTAGACCCTGTTGGATTGCCAGTTTCTCTTTCAAATCCCAGGAGGAATGGTTAGGAAAGACACTTTAAGCATTTATGGACTACTTTGTTGCTTTAGTTTTGTCCTTAATTAACAATTTCACATCCTTCTTTTCATCTTCTAGCTCACACGATGAATACCAATATCTACAGTTACTTTAGGTACAGCACTGAATAAGTGTATCTGGTTTGTGCTGAAAATGACATTTTTAGCCACGTGGAACCTATAAATTTGTCTTGGTTCCACCCTTACACCAGAAATCACCTGGAATGCTGGGTTAGAAAGCTTAGTAACTATTTCAGTTAGTGCATCCCTCCTCGGGTTTAGCTGTTGCCTTGGGCTCATTAATTCCACGGACACACTCAGTGTTCGAGATGTGTGTGGTGGCTTTTGCACTGAGAATTATGATGATATTAATGCTTTTTAAAAGTTTCTGTGAAATAGCTCTGTATGATAGTAGTCTTGGAAAAGTACTTAGGGCTTTTTTGAGTGTTTTTTTTTCTTTCTTGTTTGCTTCTTTCTCCTTGAGAATATAGACAACAGAATTACGCTTCTAGAGAGAGTGTGTTATTAAATCAGAAAACATTTGAAAAATAGCAAGAAATGTCATATTTTTCTTTCAAATGACTAAAAATCCTGCTTCTTAACATACCTTAAAAACAGAAAAATGTTAGTGAACATACCGTGTGTTAAGAACCTGTTGGTAAATTTATGGAAGAGCTATACCTCTGCTCTGTAATGTATCAGAGATTGGTGCTTCAGTACATCAGTGTGCCTTTTATATGATGCTATTTTATATGATAACTGTCACATTTTCCCACTTTAAATTGTAGCACGTAGGTTTGCTGAGAGCCGCTTCTGTAACTAGTCGAAATTTAAGAGTGCCAAGTCAAAAATTTCCTCTGTTTCAGGTGGATCCACTTTAAACATAATACTTCATTCTAATGGAAAAGCTTTGGTGGTATAAACTTCAGAGACTTAGTCTCTGTTTTACATTATATGGTGGGAAGGTTCATTTTGCCTGTTGGGGTACCCTCACATTGGGTTCAGACTCAAGACCTTGGAAGGAGTAGAAGGGAAAGACTGAAGGGGTGGAGGGCAGAGTTATAATCGTCAGCATGCTGTGGGTGAGAAGAGCAGTAGAATAAAGCATTTCTCTTCCAGAAAGCTGTGTCACTAGAGATGAAAATGTAATCCCAAAGGTAGCTGGCTCCCATAAGAAGAGAACCTAGCCTGGGGCTGCGATCGACCAGTGTTGGTCTCTGAAAGACAGGGTATGGTGGTTGGATTCAGAACTGGCTGTTGGTGGGTTCCCACGAGGGCAGAGCTACCCAAGGAGTCATAGAATCATTGAATCATTTAGGTTGGAAAAGACCCTTGGGATCATCAAGTCCAACCATTAATCCTACTGTACAAAGTTCTCCCCTACATCATATCCCCCAACACCACATCTAAACGACTCTTAAACACATCCAAGGATGGTGACTCAACCACCTCCCTGGGCAGCCTATTCCAGTGTCTGACCACTCTTTCTGTGAAGAATTGTTTCCTAATGTCCAGTCTAAACCTACCCTGTTGCAGCTTGAAGCCATTCCCTCTCATTCTGTGGCTAATGACCTGTGAGAAGAGACCAGCACCAACCTCCCTACAGTGTCCTTTCAAGTAGTTGTAGAGAGTGATGAGGTCTCCCCTCAGCCTCCTCTTCGTCAGACTAAACAATCTTCATAGTGTTTCTGGCCTGGGCAGTCCAGATGCCTTGCACTGTTGTGGCAGTTGTACTGGCCCAGGTGTTCAAGGGGATTTATTCTACGTTGGATTAGGGACCTGTGTTACTCTTTTTTGCTGTGTTATTTTTAAGCAGGATCAATTTCCTGAGCAGGTTCACTGCCCTGCCCCAGTTTAGTGATATGATGAGGCTGGTCAAGGTGCTGGTTCCCAAGTTCTTGCTGTTGAACGTGGTTCTGCTGACAGAGATTTGTGTTTAACCACAGCCAAAGTGGTGTTTCAGGTAATAAGAGAAATTAAGAGATTACACCATTTTACTCATTGACACTTCAACAGGATGGGGAGGGAGATAAGTAGATGCGGGGTGATCTGTAAACCCAAGGCAGCTTGGCAGTGTGCACATCCTTTTTGTCTTCTCTTGATAAAAGTGAATCATGGGCCTCACCTAATTTGACCCTGAAGAGAAAGTGCAAAATTTGAAGGAAGATTGGAATAGGTTTCTGGAAAACCCGTAGACAAAAATGTCACGGCACCAATGTGGGTGGCAATGGGAGTAAGACCAGACCCACCTTCCTTTCGGGGAGAAGTGGTTTCCCCACCACCTCTTTCCTCTCCGCTGGTTTGGTTTACGTGAGAATGTTGGATACCATGTCCCACCTTGACTTGTGTTTTGTAGTGTTAAAATTTGTATGTGTGAGTTTTCTCTTCCTTACTACTTTGTTTCTGTCAATTGATTTTGAGCGGCAGTAGCTGAGTTATTCTCACGTATCTTTTAATTGACTTTGTAATAGGCTTCTATTAAAATATCTTCACCTATAGGGTATTTTTTTAACTGTACTACTTCTGATTAAAATATCTTCACCTATAGGGTATTTTTTAACTGTACTTTTTCGGAACTCATTGGGTAAAATGTGCTTGTTTTAAAAGCTGGGGAGTGCTGTTCAGACCACAATCAAAGCTCCTGTGAGATTTAATTCACTGTTTTCTGAACGCAGTGCTTGAAATAAGGATGTATCTTTCAGACACCATCCAAAGTCAATCCCTGAAAAATCTTCTTTTCCCTTTAATAACTCATTACTTCAGTTATGTTGCTTCCCCTGCTTAGATAGCTGTGTTGGAGTTGCAATATGAAGGTTTTTCTTTAGTTTTATTCAGGTTATCAGCTGCTTTTTCACTGGGGCTAACTAATGATCCTGTAATTCAGTGTGTGCGTATTGTTCGAAGTGAAAACAAGTATTTCAGTTTTAAGTGGTCAGAGTGCATGAGCTTGTTTGTGTTTTTTTTTTCTAAGGTGTACATATGAAAACACTTTGGGTTTAGATTTAACATGCATTTCAAATTTAGTGGAATTCCTTTTTTAATCTAGATTTTATTTAAGGCCTAGCACACTGTTCCCTTCCCCTGCAGGCCAGGACAAGAGCATATTCTGTTGTAGGAAACTACTTATTTGCAGCCACCATATCTGATTTTTATTTTTCCCTGGGACGCTGGAGGATTAGAGCAGATTATAGTGTTGGGATAATGTCTGACTCCTTGTGTTCCATTTAGTCATAAATAAACCCCCGAAAAAATCTGGATGTTGCTATGGTGATGTTAGTAAAAGCCTGGGATATGGAGTAAGTGAGCCGCTTAGAAGCGGAATGTCACTTACAGTAATGAGCATGCCGTCGTTAGAGCAGTGATGGGTTTACCTGATGCTCTGTAACTTTGGTAGCCCACGCCAGATTCTGAAAGCAAGTAAGTAAATGCAATTCATGTGACTGTGCTCCCTCCAGTAACTTGCCGTTACTGACCTTTTAACAAATAGAAAATTGTGTTTTGTCTCTTTATTTTCTAGCTTCGGTGTGTTGAAGTATCGCAGAGAAACAAGCAAAACCTTCCAGTCTTTGTATGCTGCTTTTCACATGATGGTCTGATTGAATTAAAGCAATAAAAAAAAAAAAAAAATCAACTCATAGCAATTTTACTTTAAATTGTGTAAGCAGACACTTTTCTTCTGAAAGTGTGGAATATAAAAAATAAGATTACATTAAAATGTGGTTTGATCTTTTTTTCTTTCTTTTTTTTTAGTCTTTATAACCTCGCTTCACTGGAACTTAGAGAAAATTTGCTGACATATTTACCTGAGTAAGTGACATTTTAATGTGTTTTGTAATATTAACATAAAATGTTCTCATTCATACGATCTGCTAACATAGGAAAGGGGATGACAGCTAGGAAAAAACACTCGGTGCCTGTTGATGACATTTATGAGATACAGCTTTGTTTTAGCAACACCTAGTTACATCCCTGTTACTTCTAATTGTACTTGGCTTGTAGCAGGCCTGCTGATGACTGGAGTTTGACTGTACCCACGCTGGTTTTTGGTGGCGAAAAAGACATATCTAGATGTCTCTGTGCTTTCTGCATTGTGGCAGAGGAATCAGTCATCTTTTGTAAGATTAACTGGATATCTTACAGTTTGGGGATCGCTTTTGGCTGCCTGGAAGAAGCCTCTTCCTTCCTTAGTGAAGGAGTTTCCTTCCTTCACTACCTGGCTGCTTCTTGCAATAGTTTTGGTGACTCCTGTTCTGCTTGTTTAGATAATCTAATACATACTATAATAGATTTAACCTTTTTTTAATCAGAATATGTTCCCCAGCCTCTTTGGGGTCCTGTTTTTTCTTGTTAATCTACCCAGGAGCTTGGTTGTGGCTGTTTACAGCTGTGGGCCACATGGCACTTTAAATGTCAGTGGTCAGAGGATAGGAATTGCTAGCTAGGTTTTGCCACGCGGTGTCAGAATGAAGCTATCACAAACGTTGACAATTTTATTGCTCCTGGAGAATTCTGACTGTCAGTAATGTAGCTGACGAGTCTCGCTGGCTTTCCTGCTACTGCAGCTTTGGGGAAGGGTAGGCAAGATCTCTACAACAGACTGCTTTTGAAGTAGAAGGATGGCCCTCTGTGTCTGTTCGTGTTCAGAGAACTTCTTTTACATCCTCTTGGGCTTCTCTCTGTTTGCATCCTCAAATCCAACCTGAAGTACTTCAGAAGTGGATCGATCATGTTGAGAAGATAAATGATGGATTTATTGAGTCTTGAGTCGCACTGTTGCGTGTGATCACTGGGGGGAATTTTTATCCAGTTGTGTAACTGTAGATTTCCCCTAAAAATAAATCTACTCAACTGTACTCAAGCTATATGGCATTGTCCAGCCTGATGGACTGATGGTTAAAATAAAGAATAATGATTTGGTTGCCTATACTAAGTTTTAAGTTTCAAGGGCACACAGTTATACTGACAACCCAAATTACTTTTTCAGTAAGATATTACTGCAAATCGCCGATGCACAGTAAAATAACTGTCTGTCTACAATACACTGTAATTTGAAATACGAGTTTCAGTAAAATGAGCTCATTTAAATACATGGGGTTTCTGTTGGTTTAGTCTGATGTGGTTTTGTTTTGGCTTATCTCATCTCACAGATCAGTTGCCCAGCTGCAGCGACTAGAACAACTTGATTTAGGAAACAACGAACTTTATCACTTGGTAAGAGAACATGCCACTGAAAGTGCACGTCGGTCTTGTTTTACGCATCATTTAGATTAAGTAGGTTGTAGGGTGTCCAAAATCGAAGAAAGAAAACTGAATGGAGGGGAGAATCTTTTTATCTGTACTGATGAATTTTTGGCAGCGAGTTGGTGCTTCCTGTATCTGCTTGGTCTTGTTCACCACAATACTGCTTTACCCAAAAAAACTGCAGCTGATCTCTAGAAAATGAGAAGTCTGCACAGAGTTTTTCTGTGAAAAGGAAAAAGAGTGGAAGGGCACAAACACACGGGCTTCTGTGGGGAGCAGGACGGGCTCAGCACAGATGGAAGCTCAGCTATTCCCAGGGTGGGAGTAGGAATCTTCGGGAAAGGGCTGAGGCAAACTGTTGAGGATTGTGTGGCAGATAGATCTACCAAAAGATATCTGTCATCTCCCTTAACCTGACTCAATTAAATGTTGGATTTGCAGTAGATTAAGAGGGTGCACGCAAATCGTTAGTGCGTGTCAGGTAAAGTATGATAGCTTGTCAAGCTGTAACAATTCATTTGTAGGATGGAGTTCCCAAATGCTCAGTCACCCTTGCTTGCTGCATTTAACCATGATACTTTTAAATATTGCTTGGAATAAGGATTGGTTTAGTCAGACTGTAATTATGGGGTATCCATTTGGTTTTCACTTGAAGCTCCTGTGTTACTTAACATTATTACTTTTTATGTTGTAGCCAGAAACAATTGGTGCACTTTTCAATCTTAAAGACCTCTGGTTGGATGGAAACCAATTAGCTGAAATACCTCAGGTAAAGATGAGCACCACTGATACTGTTTTGAAGATGTTTTTTAAAAGAAAACCTTTTAATTCATACCTAAAGGGAGGTTATCTATAATTGCATAGTTTTCTCAGTTCACTTTGCCTGGGTTTGGGTTTGGATGTGTAAGGGTTTTCTCTTAATAAGTTCCTCTACAAGGGATTGTATATCGAATTGCATAGTTTTCTCAGTTCACTTTGCCTGGGTTTGGTTTTGGATGTGTAAGGGTTTTCTCTTAATGAGTTCCTCTGCAAGGGATTGTATATCGTATCTATCATACATTCTTAGATATTTTATTTTAAGCGTTTTGGCAAAGGAATTGTTTCCTAATAGGCACATTGTTCAGTTTATAGGATGCCACATCCTCTGTTTACAGTCCTGGCCCAATGATCAGGGACCCACTAATTGGCTGAACTAACCCTCACCTTTTGTATCTACCTAAATTGAAATTTTGATAGCTTTGAGGATGAGTCCTTGTTTTTTCACAGCGATCTTCTTCCATTCAAATACAGTGTTTGGGAGAAGTACAGTGATAGAACTGTTGCCATAAATAGAAATTTTGATTTATGCAGGCAAATCCCCGGTCTGACATCAGTCATGGGATGAGGGGCCTTAGCATTTAAAGCTTATAGCACTCTAAATTCCCGTTCTAAAGAATGGTGATAGCGTGTGGGATGATTTCTTTTCCTTCTTTTTCTTCTGGAGCCAAGTTAACACTTGTTTTCCCCTGTTCCTTGTGCAGTTTGTTGTTATTTGCTGAATTGATCTCATTGTCAACAGTGTAACTTTGAAATCAGTTGCAGTTTAGTGGGCTTTGTTGACTTTGTTGTTGTTGGCTTGGCCAAATAATTTTTTAAGTAGATGTAGTTAAACACTGATAATCATTCATAAAAGGTCAAGTGTGACTTAGGCAGCTGCTTTTGTTGAAGCTGGCCATTATTGTGTATTTTGTCAAATGTCCAAAAGATGAATGTGTAGGATAAAGGGTGTGTGTTTGTGTTTAATGAAAGCTCCTCTTGGGAGACAAACATTTCCAAAATAAAAGGACTGCTCCTGTGGGCTAGGATCAAGGCCGTCACTGTATGAAAATTTCATATATGTAGAAGTAAAGGATACTTCTGCCCCAGCCATTCTGTTTTCTGAAAGATGATTTGGATGACTAAAAAGAGAACTATTACAAGCCTGTATATGGGTGTCTGTGTACATAGGGAATGGGAGGGTGGTTTGATGGCTAACAGGGACAAATTCTCTGACAGACATTTAAGATAATTGGCAGGTTACTATTGTAAAAAAAAATTAAGTAATTGTTAATAACTGTAGGTGATGGCAGTATAACTTGGCAGTTCAAATATGCTTGCTAGAGCAACACTCCCAATTCCTATTTCTACATTTGTTGCAGTTGAGAGATGTGAAGATATGAAATCCCTAGATGTCATGGCATGTTGCTGTATCAGCCAGGAGAAACTAATCCTAATTTGCCTAGGGTTAATTGGGAGGGGCAGACTTTAATTACATGGAGGTTGATAATCTGGAGTTCTGAAAGAACAACTTTGCAGTCTTGACTTGAGGAAAACTCCAGTTTTGGCTGGTGCTTGCCTGGGTGTGCTCAGCATACCTGGCCTGACTGCTGGAGCCAGTCTTAATAGTTAGAATAAGAAACTGTGACTGAATCACTTGGTTGGTTTAGCATATGTAAAATGCAATTTATTTATTTTTTTTTTCCTGCATTTAGAGGTCATACAAAGAATGGCCAATTTAGAGGTCATACAGAGCATTGTTTTTCTTTCTGGAATTTCATTGCGTTGGTACATTTTTCAAATTGCTTTGTTACGTGTTTGGGCATGACTTAAATTTTTTGTCTTGTATCGCAGGAAGTAGGAAACCTGAAAAACCTGCTTTGTCTGGATGTTTCTGAAAATAAATTGGAATGCCTTCCTCAAGAAATTAGTGGTCTGGCTTCTTTAACAGACTTGCTTGTTTCTCAGAATTTACTTCAGGTCCTACCTGATGGCATTGGTAAGTACAAGGTGAACGCTGTCACACAGAACCATTTAATTCACCGTAAATTGGAAGTCATTTGTTTTCAAGTCTTTTGAAGTCTTTTTGTGCAAGAGATGAGCTTGTCTCAGCTTTTTTTTTTTTGTGTCTGTGTGCTTAGTATGAAATGCATAGCTCTATTAATTTCACATTTTAATTGTCTGCATAATGACTACCTCATAATCCTTTTTTTGGCCTTCACTTGATACCTACCCGAACAAAATAAAAGTTAATATATCCTCTCTGTTCCTACCGTGTCCACATCACTGTCATAACTCTTTAATGTTGTAAAATTCCAGCTTGTAACATGCTGTAGGTCCTTGATAAAACTGACTGACAGCATCACTGCAAAAAAAGACTTCGTTTTTAGTGGGGACGTGTAATTATCTTTAATTGGACAATGTGATTAATCCCGTATTGGACCCACTGAAAGGCTCTTCCACCTTCAGCCTGTATCTCCTCACCTTTAAGGATCCAAGCTACAACCTCTCTGTGTCTGACCCCTTAAAACGGGTTTAATAACTGAGAAATGTCTTCTGAAGCATTTCCAGTGCCTTTCTTCAGGTAAATGCTTTTACCCCTGCTGTAGTTGTGACAAGTAGTTAACAAGGTGTTGTTTCTCTACTGCTCATCAGCTATTTTTGCTGGAGAGCTTCACGTTGCAAAAGCATGCCTTATCCTTGCCAGGACTTTATTTTTGATTTTTTTATTTATTATTTTTTTTCCAAAATAAAGGTTTGGGGAAGGCAGACTTGTGAATGTGGTTTAACTGGGAATGGGGAAAAGAGCGGACAGACCTTCCCCTTCCCTCCGTTTGCTGTATGAGCCTAAGAAAAGAGAAATGTTTTTCTAGAAGTGAAACCTGGGGGAGAGGGGTGACTCTTGTGGGTCCTACCGTTGGCTGGGGTGGGTTTGGTAGAAAGCTGTGGCAGCTCTCTCTGACCGGTACAGTTGTTGTACCTCAGAAATGGAGCTGTACCTTCTAAAAGGCTACCACCCACGCAGCCTGCCAGAGGGGACCTCGTCTGGAACACCAGCTGGTGAAGAAGAGGAGCTGCTGCTTCTCCAGAAGCCTGTTAAATGGAGATCCTTTGCTGGGGAAGGCGATTGCCAAGGGCCAAGTCGTTTCAGGCCAGGCCTAGTTTGCATGTACATTTTGTAACACTTTTCTGGGTGTGATTTTGTTACGAAGGCAAAAAAAAAAAATTGCTACTTATGTAAATCTAGGAGCTTACTTGTGTTTGGAAAATTGGGTAGGGCTATGGTACTTCCTCCTTCTGTGTAATATTGGAACTTACTGTGTGAAATGGAGAAAATCTGGCATTGTGGTTGAAGCGAACGTCGCTGGTCTTTGTGGGAGCTCCTGGGAGGAGCTCAGCTGACCACCAAGTCCTTGGTTGGGTTGGTGGATCTGTAGCACCCTTGAAGCAAGGCTCTCACCAACGCCAGCAGGTCGGGTCAGCTGTGGCTGTGTCTCACCAAGTCTCTAAAGTCCCTAATGGAGGTGGCCGCAGCACTGTCGGACAGCCTGTGTTAGTGCTGTACCACTTCCCAGTGAGGAAGCTTCTTCTCATGTCCAGCTAGGACCTCCCACGTTTTGATTTGGGGCCATTACTGTCTTGTCTGCCACTGTGGAGAAGAGTTTGACTCTGTAATGGCCCTTCAAGTAGTTTTGGGCTATTCCTGGATGCCTCCTTAGCTGCTTCTTTGCTGGAGTCCACAAAGCCAGCTCTCTGACCCTCAGCTCACATGCACCTTGGTCATCTTGATAGCTTTGTGCTGGACCCCCATCAGCATCTCACTTGAACTGAAAAGTTGGTATGGGGGGGAAGACAGGACAGGACATGAAACTGAGCGTGATTTTAGATGTGTGGCCTCACTGGTGCCAAGTGGATGGTGACTTCCATTGATCTGCTGGCCGTATTTCTCCTAATGTAGTTTAGAAGAACACACTGGCCAGTTTTTATTTCTGCTGAGAGCTCACTGCTAGTTTGTTATTCAGCCTGGTGCCCACCATGGGCCCCGTGTTCTTTCCAGGACAGCCTGCCAGTTCCCAGCCTATACCAGAGCATGGATTTGTCCCACCCAGGTGCAGAGCTCTGCTCCTTCTTCTTACTGAACCTTGGGCTTCTATTCAGGTTGCCGTCTTTCTGCGTATCAGCCATGTCTTCGTGATTTACCATCATCAGTAAATTTGATGTGCCAGCCTATTACAGCTATTTTGGACCATCTGGGGGTGGGCAGGGACATGTCAGCCTCTAGTGATGTCTCCTGAATTTTCTGTCTTGGGCTCTGCCTGGGTTAGCTCTGCTTTGCACTAAAGACCATTCTGGTATAAAGAGCAGAACAAGGTGAGCTTTCTGCTCTGAAATAGTATTTTGTCCTTCCTGGGGAAACAACCTTCAAAGAATTTTGACTCCCATTCGAAAAAATGAACTTGGGTTTCATGGCTAACTGAGTTCCATATTAGGCCAAAGAGACCTTGATGCTGGTTGGGTCTGGGCTGTCACTTCAGTGCAAGCCTTTCTTATGGTGGCTGAATAGGCATAGATGATCTGAACACTTCTTTATTAATAAACATTGTCTAATTGAGGGGAAGAAAAATAGATCATTTTCTCCTGTTTATAGGCTTTTGGGTAGACGTGTCCTTGACATTTACACGGGGGTAGCACTCAGACTGCAACTTTGATACCATTTAATATGCTAAAATATTGGGTATGAGTATTTATATTTAATATGAATTCAATGATGTTATTAACTTGTGAAAATAGCATAAGCCCCAAGTGAAGCAGTGCTTGAATTCTCTTTTTTTACCTGAAAAAAATTTTCATCGTGTTAGAGGGCTTCTGAAACTTTTGCAGCAGAATGGTTTTTCTGTAATTAAAGCAGGAATTCGGAGGATACTAAGCTAAAACAAATGCATTCTTCTTTCTGCCCAGGAAAACTGAGGAGGCTCTCCATTTTGAAGGTTGACCAGAACAAACTCATTCAGCTGACAGATTCGATTGGGGACTGCGAAAGCCTTACTGAATTAGTTCTAACGGAAAACCAACTGCAGGTGAGCGTGGTCCTGGCTGCCCAAAAGGCTGGTGGTAATCAGTTCTGCTGCTAAACCCTGGCATCATTAGCTCCTAAGGCTGCTCACCGTTGCCACTGTTAAGTAGGGATTTTCTTTTAAACGCATCTTATTTCCAACCCGTTAAAAAACGAATGCTGAAGATCAAGTTGTGTGTAGGAACGATCCTCCCTTCCAAAGGCTTGTGCCATGACGTATTCACTCTTGAATCTTTCATGGCCACTAAGGGAACTGGAGTGCCTGGAGTGCAGGTGTCGCTTACTTTGTTGTGTTTTTCGTGCCGAGTTTGTGCCGCGCCGCGTTGTTGCCAGTTTTTGCTGTGCATTATCTGGATCAGACTTGCTGGAGCTGAATAGAAGCCCCGAGCGCTGCAGAGCTCCTGTTGTACTGTTCCTTGCTCTGCTGATCTGCTCCAGCCAGGTATTAAATATGGTATGTGGTCAAGGAAAATAAAATTTTAATGGGCTTCCTTCCATTAGGCATCTCCTTCCATTGTTTTGAAACTGCCTTCACATTGACATTGACAATTGGAGAGTAGAAGTGTTTACAAAAAAGTAGGTTTGAGCATTTCTGAAGTTAGGTTGGTGCTTGGTTGAGTTAGAACCTCAAGCCTGTTGGAAAGATACCTCTCCAGGGGTCAGTTCATAGCACCTAAGCTAGAAGCCTGCCTCTCAGTTAGTTATTTAGGGAGCCTAAACTTAGATAATATGAACATTCTACATACATGCTTCTGTTAACAGCTGCTGTGCATCTATAACCTTAGTGCAGAGATAAGTTGAGTGAATTTGTGTTAGAAACTGGCATGCCTGGACATTCCTCCTGCAAGAGAAAACCTTGGATCTCCTTTGGAAGGCCCTGATAGTAATGAGGGTTAACTACACTCCAATTTTGAAAATGGATCGGTCTATTAATTCTACTAAACTGAATTCATTCTATTAAATTAAATAATAAATCTGTACATAAGCCTATTGAAATTAATTAATTTTAAAGTGAGATAAGTTTTATTATGACTTAGTGAAGTTACAAATTTTGTTTGCGTGTTATTTTGTTTTTGTTGGCACAGTCATTACCGAAGAGCATTGGAAAACTAAAGAAGCTGAACAATTTGAATGCCGATAGAAACAAATTAACATCTTTGCCCAAAGAGGTAAGTTTTGTGTAATTATCTCTCACAGATGTGATTATACAAACAGAAAATTCTTGATTTCAAATGCCTGCAAGAAGTAGCAGGCAGCTTTGGTCCACTGGGTATTCTTCCCAAACGGATCACAACCAGAAACTTGTCCATTAGATCTGAACAGCATAAATCTGAACAGCAGCTGTGGTGATTTGCTGGCTTGGAAGTGCAAAATGTCTTTGCAGTTGAACAAGAAGGCTTGGATCTAATTAGCTTGTAATTAGTGATTCCCAGTGTGGGTGTCAGGTCCAGCACTACTTGAAGACTGGGCGTTCTGTTAGAGTGAGTGCATTTGAACATCAATATGCCTCTTCTGCATATAGTATAAGAATACTGTCAGAGTTTTCCTCACCTCACTCATGTGAGCAATAACAAAGGGAAGGTTTCATATTCTGAAAAATGATTCAGAGACTGTTTTGACAAGTCTTTTTAGTTTTGGAGGTCTCAGGACTACTTTTGCCTTGTGAGGACCTGATGGGGCCGAGGTTACCGATACCTCAAATCTTACAGCTACGATCACTTGGACTTCTTGTCTATTTAACAGTATATGGAATGAAATGAGGCTAGAATTTCTGTTGTGAAACTAAATATAATGAAGGCCTTACAAGTTTAGTTCAGCAGTAAATTCTGGAAAGAGATCAGGGAAAGCAGCATCCTGTGATTGGAGCACAAGAGTTGGTTCTGCTTGTGCTACTGTTTCTCTCTGATTTTTGTCCAGCTAGTTCTCCCGCTTAATTTTCCTATCTGTTTCTGACGTGTGACTCTGAGGTTGTAGCTTTTATTCACTGCTTTCAGTCACTTCAGGAGCAGGTGGCAGCAGATGGATGGGAATTGAGAGGAGCACCAGATCTGGCTAGTGAGCGCACGCTTTTGCTCAGGTCTGCTAACTTACGGAGCTTGGGCAACTCCTGGGGAGGAAATGTGAGGAGGAAGGAAAGTGGTTGGGAACCAGGAGATGGGACAGAACTGATGGTCTGAAGAGGAGGGATCGAGCAGGGGCAGAAGATGCTGCTGTGGCACTGGCAGCAACAATTCCAGTGGCCCAGGTCTGAGCTGCCACACGTCGTCACCTAATCAGGGCTCCACGATAGCCTTTATTGCTCCCTTACGGATTGTCTTCTAAGTGTATGTTTGACAGGAGGGGAAGGTAAGGGAGAGAAGAGAAGATGTGAGTACTGCAGCTTTCCTAGAAGGACAGTGTCTCCTCTGCAGAGGTGATGCTGGTTCTGACCAGGAAGTTGCAGAGGGTGTACCCAGATGGGTTGCATAAATGCTAGCAAGAGGCAAAACCTTGGGAAAACCATGTTTTTGGGTTGGGATACGATGGCAATTTTGATCTTGTGCTCATTCAGCAGAAAACTTTCCATGTCTTTACAAAAAACTTAATTTAATACGTGGCACAGGTGTCCTAAACTATCTGTACTTGAGACTCATACAGTTTTGTGTCTAGTCTACCTTTAAGCAGAATTGTTCTTAATTCATTATAGGGTATAAAGTTTTACTGATGCACTTAAATTCCAGATTGGTCGTTAGTAGCTTATGTAGTGTATAAGCACTAAGATGGTGCATGAGTGTGTGAGCAGTGTGGGTTGGAGGAAGCAGGGACAGGAGCAGGGGAGAGGAGAAGCTCTGCTTCAGAAGCAGGTGGAGCAGAGTGAATATAGAATGTGTCCGTCTGGGGGGAATGACCAAGTCAAAGGCTCGGTGCAGACCAATAAAGGGGTTGATGCTGAACAAGAAACTAGAGACTTGGAATCAGAAATGGGTTTCAGAGGTGTAAAGCATTGCCCAGTCAGTGATGGAGTTGGAGATATCAAAGGGTAAAGAACAAGAATGTGTTTGGAGAACATCAGTGCACATGAGAGGGAGGGGACACCTGCACAAGGGGTGGGATAAAGTCAGGGATGAGTCTGTGTTTGGAGAAGGTGGGTGATGAGGAAATGGAAGGTGTTATCTGGAATGAGGTGAGCTAAGGAGTTGCAGGAAGTCCAGGAAATAAGGATGGGAGAGGGTGGTTCCCTGGGATCTTGGCAAAGAAACAGAGGAAAGAGATCTATTTCCTTGGCATCCATGTCTTTGTGACAGATTTTTTTGTTCTTGTTGTTTTCCTGTAAAGTTCTCCACACCTATCTGTCTTCCTCATAAGAGCAAACATTTTGAAATTACGTTAGCCTAAGATTTCCAGAATGTTTCATTAAAGTATATTTTGCTCTGTGGATTTTTAAAATTTTTAAAGGAAGTCAGTTGTCCTCCAACTGGAGGGTGGTATCCACCCTCTGTATCGGTGGATTTGAATTCCCAGGTGGTAATGGTAGCGAATAGAAAGCATAAACAACTGATGCAATGGTTTATTTCAAAAATACTGTTAATATGCAATACTTACCATCGAGCTAACAAGACCTTTCAGTTTCAATTTTTCAATTTTCGATTTCAATTCCTTGTGCTTAGGCTGTGCAATAAAACATTTTTCTCCCTAAGTCTTTAGGTGGCCGCCTAACAAGGCTGAAGTGTTAGTTTCGAAACCAGAAAAAAAAAGTAATATACTGCTCTCTGCTCGTTTTTTGTTTGTTCCTGGAGCTGTGTTTTTTTTATGCAGTACTTTTCTTTACCGGTGGCTTTTTGCTTTAAACCAAACATGAACATTTTCTGTAGTACAAGTTGTCTGAGGAATTCAGTGGAGAGTCACGTTTCACAGGTCTAAAAGAAGAACGTTCTCCATGAACAGAGTACACAGGTATCAGGAGTACTGTTCACCGTTACGCAAAGCATCCAGAGGAGCAGCTTCAGGGGTGCTGGGTGCTGGTAATGGCAAAGATCCCAATGCTGAGTTGCCCTTTGGATGGCAAATTTGGGGGGGGGGAACAATCTGGTGTCCTGGTGAAACGTTCAGTTTCCATTTTCCTTCTCATCATTCCTGACGTGGAAAAAAAAAAACAACACAAAATTCATTGGTAGAGCACTTAAGGAAAACTGCAAAATGTGTCCCCCTTTTCCTGTCTGTTGGATGGTGCCGCGTAACAGCGAGAACTATTTATTTTCATCTCAAACTGACTAATTAGTATTTAAAGCCCGGCGCGAGCTTCTGACGGCAGTCTTTTTCAACATCCCCTGCCTGCTGTTGCTGCCTAAGATGTCTCCTGAGATAGTATGGCGAAGATTGGGGTCTCAGACCTCAGCACGTCAATCAGTGTTAGCACTTGTACTCTGTACACAGTCAGAGGCAGAGCGTGCACTGCAGAGATTCTTCCTCACTTTCTGCCCCCTCTTTTCCTTTCCCTCTTGTTCTTTCTCTGCCTTATAGGGTGCTAGACCAGCTGCGCCTTTGGGGGCTTCATCCTTATAAGAAATGGGTGTGGGACAGGCCTTTGGTGGTTTATGTTGGAGAAGGACAAAGACATATAGTCCAGTAATGTGTATGGAAAAAATGGAACTCTACTAGGGAAAGGAGTATACGTAAGCAGTACCATGTCTACCTGCTGGTGTTCTCTGTCCTTCCCTCCAGAATTAGTCCTGTGGCAAAGAGAGCTTTTATAGACACAATGGCAGAAATGATGTGCCTGTTCTAATATAACCCGGTGAGAGAATCTATGAGTTCTAGCTTTTTTGGGGGTGATACAGGGCTTTTTTGCTGGTTTTGGTTGTAGGGGTTTTCTGGTTTGTTTTTTTTTTTTGTTTTTTGCTTTGTTAGCACTTTACTAAGGTTGTATTAGGGAGTTGGAGATGATCTCCAGAGGTCCCTTCCAACCCTATGTGATTCTGTCATTTTGGGTCAACGTGTCAAACCATTACATTGCCAGATTGTTTCAGGGCACTCTTGTAAAACCAGTCTCTGCCTTTTGGTGTAAGATCGCTTGACTTGGGGTTATTGAGGAGTTTGTATGCAAATACCCCTTCAAAGTTTCCTGGTTCAAAGGTTCTTCTGTATCTGGTGCTGATACGTAGGGTAAAACATGGGACAGCTGAATTTCTGACCAAGACTTGAGTCACTGATGGATTCCATCCTTGGTGTCTCATCTCACAGCACGGTCCTTCTCACTGAACTGGGTGGTGAAAGACTTCGGCAAGAGCTGAGAATGTCTAAACCTGTTCATAGTTACAAATGTTTTTCTCCTTGAACTTGAAAGACCTGCCTGGTGACTCTTTGGTATTGAAATCCCACCCTGGCACTGGAACGCTGGTGAAACTGGTGTGTTGATTTTGGCACTTGCATAAATAACCTCCTTGGAATGTTTTCCAGTTCATGTGCTTTTGTTAATGAGTCTCTACAACCTGCAGAGATCTGGTAATGTGTCCTTCCTGGCTCTGAGATATATTGTGAGAATTTTTACTACAGTAGGTAAAACTGCAAGTTTTTGGGTGGTTTTTTTGGCAATGATTGTGCTTTTTGCATTATGCTTATGTTTTAAAAAAAATAAGTTGTGGACACTTTGTTGTTTCTGGTTTTTAACTTCTCCTGTCTCATCCCTTCCATCATTTGTGTAAAAGTATGTGTTTGTGTGTCTGAAAGGGAAAAAAGGCACTAAGGAAAAATGCAGGAAAACTCATCTTGAGTCAGAGGGCCGAGAAGCAACATTGCTGTGCTCCTCCCATACTGTTCACCAGGGGTGCAGGGGATGTTGGAGTGAGTTTGTCAAAGAGTTTCCTAGCCAATTTAAAGTTAATAATAACAAAATAATAGCCAATAATAGTGAATTGGGCAGTTTCTCCCACCTCTAAATGTATTCTAGGCTTCCAATTAAAGAATTAGTGTATTGTATCTGGGGCCAAGGAAAATTCTGACTTTATTTACTTTGAATCCAAGCAAAATTTCGGTTATGACACCCTGGATAAGATTTTACAACACAATAGGAACTGTGTTTAAATTCCCAATATATTTATCAGAATTGTATAAACCCAGTGAGAGTTGTTGATGCTGACAGCTCTACTGAGAGTTGAATAAAAGAGATGTGTCACTGGACTTTAACTAGTCA